AATGATAAAATTCTCATTCAATTAATTTTTTATAAAAAGGATTAAAAAATTAATTGAATGAGCATTTTATAACAGCGCATGATAAAAAAAATGCTATTATCGCATCAGTATCATTATTATTTCGTAATTATAACTATCATCCTTGCTTCTCCGATGGTATTCTGCCAACAAGGTCAAAAAACATACTATGAACTAATAACGGAACCAATTACATTAGGTCCCAAGGATAATACAGTTATAGAACATTCACAGTTACCGTTAGTAAAGGACGAGTTGTCAGTAACGTTAAGAATATATCTTGCGAGTCATGGTCTCGATTGGACTTCTGTTTTTCATAAAGGTGGTTTTCAAAGGTTGCACGTGACTATTCAATTAATTTATCTCGGAAAAAATTCTTAATGATATGAAACTTTCTTTACATTTAGGAGGCATCGAGCGTACGCCTTCAATTTTGCTGACCGCAAATAATTCAAACTTACATCCACGCTTCTCGATTACTGACGATAATGATTTTGGACTCGATATGGTTGGAGATGGACTTCTACTTAACCGATGGTACCATTTGGCGTATACACTTTCAGAACTCCAAAGGCGAATGAATATATATATAGATGGTAAATGGTTTGGACAAATAGCCATCTCTCAAATTCAGTTACAACATGTCTTGTTCAATGATGCACCATTATATATTGGGAACGATCTCGAATTTGATGGATTTACTGGAAAAATTAGGTATGGTATGTATGGAATTTTATAATCAAATCAACGAATTTATTGCATATTAAAATGTGAATTATCTATAAATTAGCAATTTTCGTTATTATAATTTTCGTCTCACTAGAAAACAAGTAAGGATGGAATTTTTGGTAAGGTTAACCTTGGATTTTATTTATATTTTAAGATTTAATATCGTTTACAATAGTTTTTTTTTTTTGATTTAGGGTAAAGATTTAACGAGCATAAATGATGATTGTCCAACAGATTTTGATTATCCAACGGATTTTGAATGTGTGTGTCCAGAAATTAAAAGAATTTTAGTCGGAACAAACATCGGATCATTTTTATCCGGCATGTTATTTTTAGCAGGAGGTTTTTATCTACATAAAAGGTTATTGCGCTTGCGAAAGCGGAAATTATTTGATGATCATGGACCAAATAATCAAGTAGTCTTTTAATTAGTTCAGTTATTAATTTAGATATGATGATGTAAAAGCTCGTTAATAGTTGCATACAATTTCTATGACAACTTTCATAACTCGGACTTAATTTAGTTCAGTTATAAAATAAAATACAAAGTGGTGTCAGCACTTTGTTGTTGGGCAGAAAATTTCATTCAATTCCTAACTAGTGATCTATAATCCGGAATTGCGAAATCCGAAGAAGACGCAGTAATGGTGGAGAATACTTTTTTTGTTAACCATATTTATACATTTATTTTATCATAGTATATATTGTTGTATATTAAATGAAAGTAAGATTAAGATTTTAATCTACATGATGTCAGACAGAGTTTTCCTTAGTAGTAATAAGTCTCAGTAGGAGCTCTAACGTTAATAAAATACTTGTTCTAGACTTTCAACCTTTTGTGACTTTATATCAGATTGATCATGATACTGAATACGCTTAAAGTTCTACCTTTAGACGTGCCTTTGTTAGCCTAGTTTATAGTTTAATTCCAGCAAAGTGTACACGTGCGATTTAGTATTCTCGAATTAACAACGACTACGCAAGTAGTAAAGAATTTATGAACATTCAAAGCTTTTACGAATTTAGCTTTTAACGTGAGGCTATATTTTGCTTTTGCAAAATTTATATTAAAAAAAAATGCTGCGGTATATAAAATATAAAATTGTTGTTTTTGGTGGTTTAAAAAATTCAATTTATTTACTGATATGAATTATTGGTTAAACATAATTATCTACTACAAGATAAACTTTATAAATTTTATAAATTTAATTCTTTGTTTCTGTCCGATTTCTAGCCAATAATCTGTTATCATTTTATCATTTATTCAGTTCATCTTTTTCTTCGGAAATATTTTTTTTTCCCGCAGTATCGCAGTAAATCAAAAAAAAAAATTGCAAAAAGTAAAATTTATCATTTTTTTTAGTTGACTTTTTCATTGTTACATCAAATATGAATTATAGCAATAATTGTTTGTATGAAAATTTGGTAAGAAATGAATTATTTTTTTTCAGAAAATTCATTTATTTTTTTTTTTAAGCGACATTTACTACTGTATTTTACGAAATAGCAAAAAATTGACATATCGTGATTGGGTAAAAATAGTTTTTGGTATATCTGAAGTTAGGAATCTCAATTTAAAAACACCCGAAGATCCAACTTCAGGCGAAAATCATTTTCAGTCAATACAAAGCGATCGGACATTTCGGGTCGGTTATGTTAAGGAAGAAGTTGAGGGGAGTAATTTAACCAAACATTATGTTAATTTACTGACCCGAAGATTTTTGTAAATATGTGATAACGGAAGAGTGAGGTTATCGACAAACTAATAATATTGAGAATGTGTGTTTAAAGCTTTGAATGCTTATAACTTCAACCAGAGAAAATGGTTTGAATAATCCGATTTATCGACCTTTTACGAATTATAATTTTGGGTAAAAAATATATAATTTATATTTATTTATATTTATTTATTTATTTATTGTTTTAGGAAGTAAAAGGCAAAAAATTGGTTTATTTAACCATTCTGGTTTTTTTTTTTCGGGTTCGATTAATTTATTAATAGGCAAACACGTTCCCATTTTCTTTTTCTTATTTCTATTTTATTTTTTTTTGATTATTTGGTTTCACCACTACAATTACGGGTTGAGTTGCGTTGATAAAAGTATTTTCTCATTAATTCAATTTTAGTATTCAATAAAAAAAAAATTTTTTAAAATTCAAAAAAAAAAAAAAAATACGAAATAAAAGAAAAGAAAATTATGTGAAAGAAAACTAGATTTGAAAAATTTTAGTATTAAAAAATTAACCACTAATTAATCACCGATGATTTAATTAAGGAATTCATTAAGCAATTCGTTCGGGATATCAGTATTCGGATAATGTCCAATCGAGATATCAAGTATTTGGATATGAGTATTTGGGATTCGGGAAATAGGAATTCGAGAAATCAATGATAGCATTCGGGATGTTTATGATTTCAGAAAAGTGTCCAGTTCGGGAAACTCGAGTTTGGAAAATTGGCTTTGGAAAATGTGTATTCAGAAAGTCGAACGTTCAGAGGCTTGCCACTAGTATTGGATTTGACCGTTTCGCTTACAAACTGATAATTAGTACAAGTTATATGTAATAAAAAAAAATACAGGTGAAAAGGAAATTCTAGCCTAAATATCTTGAAAAATCATAAAACTTTACTTACACAAATTAGCAAAGGTACCTTGCAATAAATTCATTTCATTTTGCATGTGCGTCTTAACTCCAAAATTTACTGCTGTCTTCGATGTTAGGTCTCACGTTTCTGACATTTCGAACCTGACATTTTCTCCCTTTCAATCATAAGTATTTGATCTAGAAATCATATCCCTAATTAATTGATCTTTTACCAAAGAATTTAAATTTCGTTTTGATAGTTTTAAATTTTGTACAAGTTCTATGCGTTGTTAGTGATAATCCGTCAATTAGGATCATCGCTATCACGGTTATCATTGTTATATTTAATATAATTACTTTAACGTTTTCATTATTTTATTTATTGTATTTTTTATCTTTACTTTATTAAATATCTGTATTTTATATAAATATCCTGTATTGTCGCCTTAGCAAAAGGAATAAGTTTCTACCTTACAATCGAATAAAGTATAATCTTAACAATATAAAAACTCATATCTTTGCTAATATCTTTTCCTTAAACATAAATCATCAATAAAGACGACCTGACCCTTCAATATTATTAAATTCTCGTTTATTTCTTTCATAGTTTATAACTTAAACTCCTTGCTAGCAAATAAGCTTTGTTATCCTAACGACGTAGTGTTTAACATCATACACGGAGTAAGACTTTATTGTGACTCAAATGTCTTTAAACTTACCGTCATTATAAAGAAATATGCTCGAAACATGATGATGACAGGCCTTATTAATTAATCTGTACTATTTATATTTCACCATGATATGACGAGTTCGTTTTGGTTGTTCATCCGAAAAAACTTTTGTAAAGTTTAACAGTAAACTCCTTGTAATTACGCTACTAGTTTATATTTACGTACATTTAACATAATATAAGTTTAAGAATATGGATGGTAATGGTTGGTCTCCGATATGACACATGCTCATTGAAAATCTTAAAAGACCAGTTCGTTGCCTTTAAATTTTTTAGATAATTCAGTTGAATTTCTTCACAAATCGATTTGGAATTGACAGAATTTTTACTTGAGGTAATTTTTTGTTTATGCGTTAGTAGCTTTTATATTAAAATTAAATCAACTAACTGAAGGATTCTGTATTTATTCATGTGAAATTGTGGAATTCAGAGTTTTTCCATTATCAAACATTAATTATGAAAATAAACGGATCTATCGAAAAGATAAAAAACAAAAATTAAATAAATTTGATTATTAAAAATAAAAATTGAAAAAAGATATTTTTGATTACTTGGAATCTGAAAAACCTTATCTATTTATAATCAAATCATTACAAAATATGTTCAAAAAAAACTTCAAATCTTTAATTATACATCTATTAGAGTTTTTGAATTTATGTTCTCTTTATATAGCTTTCCAAAAAGATTAATGTTAAGGAACATATATACATTTGAAAAATTTTCTAAAAACGTCCTCTCACCTTTGTTCATTATTCTCAGTGATTTACTTTTTGCTTTCTTGCTTGCAATTGAAATAGCTTAATCCTTGGTTTACTGTCAAGTACGTGAACGAGAGTTCTTGTGCATGCAAACTTTCTGCAAGAAAATCACGAAAGGATCAACGATTTTAGCTCATGTACAATCATTGGATTTTTTCTTGAATATAATCTTCTCTTGAAATCGATTACCCTCCTATTATTAAAATATCAATAAATCACATATTAAACAATAGACCTTCTAAATCTTCGAGCAAATTCTATTCAGTTAATATTCATCAAAATAAAAATATTACCAACCTCAACTGCCTTTAAAATGTCATTTTACGCTAACTTTTCTGCGATGACGATTGATATTAGTAGCAAATATTGTACTCAATAATTGAGTTTACCTATCCAAGTAATTATAATCAAAAGTAATTTTCATCAGACTAGTCGAAAGGATATTGCATGCGGGTAAATATTAGAATCATTAATGCAATAAAAGTTTTAAATAAAAATTAACCTCCTCGTCGTGTTCCTATACCCACTCTTATTCTTTTACCAATTCCAAAAGTTTACATTACATCAATGCAATGACTACAACGCTAACAATTTTCACGTGGACTCAAGTTGTTTGGAGATCAAATCGTCTCTAGTCATGTCATTACTTTCTTTGAATATTCTCAAGATTAGCACAAAGAAGCCATATACATTAAAGAACTTGTTAAAGTAGTCCAACCATTGACAGCATTAACGAATTTTCTTTCCGTTAGTAATGTATAATTACTTCAGAAAACAATTTAAAAGTTCTGATTGTGATCCTACGATGAATAGACAAATGCCAAAGTATTTATGAACCGAAAATATTTAGGAACTATTATATGAAAATTAAAAATATATATATATATAATATTCCGTTCTTACTCACTGGGCTTCCAATTTCCATAGAAGGAATTTAATTATAGTATATCTCAAAGGGACAAAACATCATGATACATTGTTTCTTTTTCGCTGAAGTAACTTCATTACTTAAAAAAAGCGAACTTATTAGTTTATAGTAAATAAATCATAATTAATTTATGTATGTATATACCATCGGAAGCAAACTACAAATGTTCTTTATTAATGGACCGATTCAAAATGTCAAGCAGAATATCTCTTCGCGAATAAAGGATATCCGCAGAATATTTGTGAGAAAGGAGACGAATCAATATGGTCAAGGTGGTTTATCAAGTACTAATGCTAAAAAAATAAAATATTAGAAGGCTTCATTAATAATAAATAACTATCTTATTTCTACTTTGTACGTTTCTCATAAAAGTTTCAATGTTTAGTGCAATACTTTGTTCACACAATTAACAAACTTCTTCTAGAATTCCTGTCTTCAGATTTACTTCCGGCTGATGCTAAAGAATCAAGCTATCGCACCCTAAGCCGTTCTCGGCAGTATTCTGACGATTACTTGAAGGAGTTCAAAAATGTCAGTAGAGATTATGAATTGCTATTGTCAGGTCTGGGAAGTATGAGGAACGTCTTTCTTGTTTAAATTTTGTGATTACTTAGGTATAGCGTTGTAGTTATATATATATAATCTGTTTTGAGTATCTTGATCAATTTGATTTTGATAAAGTTATAGTGATGGAAAAATAGATAAAATTAATAATAAAATGAATGAGGTAAAGGCAAAGTTAAAAAAAAAACAAGGAATATTTAAGTAAAACAAGATACAAATCATTAATAAAGGAAATAAATAAAAATGATAAATTGATTTGAAAAACTTACCGATATGCTTACTGAGATCAGATATGTGGATAGTTTGTTATTGCGATCCTTTACCGATGCTCACATAGAAACCATCATTGAAATCTATAATAGTAAAACTTTAAAGATTTAATTATCTAATCCAAATAACGTCCACTTTAAAATTAACTAATTATCGCCATTAATTTAATATAATTGCCATGTATAATATCAACCCGAAACAACAGCAAATAAAAATTTTACATCGGTCTCTCTCGGGTTGTCGAGCAAAAGATATAACTCTTAATATTCGTCTGTACTGTATTCATGAAGGTACTGTATGACAATTTTTACAGTTTGGTCTTATTTAATGAATTCCCAACTTTATAAAAACATTCGAAATAAAAACCACATGTACTGTTAAAAAAAAAAAATGTAAAATCAGTCAATAATTAATTTGTTATTAAATCACGTGAAGTCAACAATTTAAAAGATTTTGAAAATAAATAATTATTGAGTATTTCGTGGTGGGATATAATGTGAGATTTCCTAGCCATAACGTGCAATATATTGAATTTCTGTTATGATTAACTTTCCATTGAGATTCCCCTTGTAATAAGCCGATGGCCAGCTATTATACATGAATGGTTGAATCGTTCCGGAATGCTTATAAAAATCTAAAGTACTATTTATTGTATATCAAGCTTAGTGTGATTAGAATTCAGATTTATAGAAATGAATAGCGAATCACAAATAGATCAAGCCAATTTTCGCGAATATTGTTGATATCATAACCAGAATGGAAAACCACTACAAAAAATGACAAAACACCTTGTCAAGTTCGTGTTCAAAAAAGTTGAACTTTTTAGCACTTGGGAGGTGAGGAAATGAATGCAAGGTTTTTGTTTCGTTTGTTTTTTTAGTAAAAAAAAAAAAATTTCATTATTAATCTTGTATAAATTAATATATATATTATGTTGCGCCGATCATTTAAATTTTAGCGGGATAAATCATCGAATTTCTTGAAAATGAATTTTTTAAATCACAAATATAAGTTCTATACTTAGAGATTACATATGGTAGATCAATTTTAGCTGCTCCGAAGTTACTTTATAGTTGAGAAACAATTTATCTTCCAAATCATGGATTAAAAGCATATTTATAAGCATAATAAAAGAATGCCGAACGCGAAAGGTTTGATTTTCCAAATAATTTTTTGACGATCATACTAATCAAAATTCCAATTTATGGTTAGATCTATTACCAAATATAGATTAGACGTTTCTGTCATTTATGCAATCAACTTAATATATAGAAAAAAAAATAATTTTTTGTTTTTCAAAACTTTTAGAAGATAATTTTGAAAATTACGACGGATTTCGATGGTTGGATTTATTTCAATTTAACAAATTTGCAAAAGTTAACAGTTTAATTTGTTATTATTTAATATTTTATTTAATATTTTATTTTAGGTAATTAGACGACTCTTGCCACATAAGTTTTATTTTTAATTTATCTTATTAATAGAAATTTTTTTTTTTTGGTAATTTCTTTCAGGTTGAGTCGCAAGGTAGAATTTTCTTATTCTTAATATTATTGTTGGATTGTTTCGAGGCACAGTGGCTGAATGATTTCTTTTTTTAAAAAAAATTTTGCGCTCTTTTAGGTTCTTTTTTCTAGTTGATTCTCTTCCAAAAGTTTTGTTAGCGGGATATGGTAGAAGTGGAAATGGATCTGCCTCAGGCCTCTCTAAATAATAATACAAGAAATTTAATAAATGTTTAGTCATCTTTTGTACGATATAAAATTTAATAAATAAAACGTTCATACATTCTTACGACATATCCCATTGTTGGATATCGCAAAATTTTTTTATAACAGACGAGAAATCAAAACTTATTATCGTATATAGTTTTAAATTTGATAATTATACAATGTTTTCTCATTTTCCCACAACTTGTTAATAATGTAATTTATTTACAAAAAAAGGAATGTCTATTTTTTTGTTTTTACGGAAAATCCAAGGAAAGTAGCGGTTTCTACTTTTACGTCTTTTTTTTCCTCATTAAACTTCGTCTCCTTTAATTACTTTCACTCTTTAAGTTTCCTTTTTAGATCATCTAAGTTTTATAAGTTTTATTCTTTTTCAAGCCTTTTAAGAGTTTTGTACGTACCATGATTTTGCTTACACTACCGACTTTTTTCAGACAATAACGTAAAATCATAACTTGTTTATATAAACGATGGGATGCAAATCTTCTTATTATTAAATTATTAATTTATTAAAAATTTGACGAATGTTCTAAAAATATTTATTTTAAAACATTAATCAATGGATATATTTCTCGTCTTCTTAAGATAAATTATAATCAAAAAAAAAAAAAATACCATTAGGTGAATATAAACAGATTCAAGGATTGCAAAACCAAAATAACAAACTTATTTTTTTTTTCTTTTGAATAAAATAATCGGAAAGAAAAGCTATGCTGTTTCATTTTAAATTGTAATTACTGGGATTGATTTCTAATTTCGAAAATCAATGTTCGATCCTTATCGATCGATTATTTTATTTTCGATTAGGTAAGCTTTGGTTTTATTCATTTTTTTTTTATTTTTATTTTATTTTTATTTATTTATTTATTTTTTTTCACGTACTATTATCGTTCGATTCGATTCTTTTTTTTTTTTTTTATTTTTTTTTATATTTATTTTTTTTTATTTAATTTTATTTCGTTTTATTTTTATTTCATTATTTTTTTTTCATTTTTTATTTTATTTTATATTATTTAATTTTGATTCGAATTATTTTTATGTTTATTTTCTTTTCGATATTCGAAATCATTTCAATATATGAATTTTATTTATTTACAACAAATATTCGAATATACTATTTTCAAACGGATGATCCAAAATCAGACACGTTAATGTTCGAAATGTAATATGAATGTTTTACTTTCTAAT